GCAATATCGGCTCCATCGCGTTCCCTAAAACGCCGCTTCTCGCCGCCGTTGCTTGCTCTCCGCGCCCTTGCACCGCGCTGGCCGAGAAATTGGTCAGGTGGGTCCATGCTAAATCCACCTTAGCAAAACCACCCCCTTCTCAGCGCCACGGGAAAGGGGCCGTTAGGGGCCCCCTCACTTATTTCCCTCGCCAGCCCTCGGTGCTGGGACCGGCTCCCTCCGCGCAACTCTCCGCCAGAGGGTGGCAGAGGCTCAAAGACCGAGGAGCTTTTTGTCTCCCCAGCGCCAGGGAACACCTGGATTTCTGCGACTTACCTTCAACGCTTTAGTTAGATTACGGTTTATACCAGACAGGCTTTTGCTAAAAACGGAAGCATTAACATAACCATTTTTTTTCTCCTCCCGACAACCCCAGATCTCACTGTTTTCTCACCTCCCTCCCCAAAGATGCTTTGCTAACAGCTCACAGCAGTGGTAGTGACACGGTTACATTTCAACATGCAGTGGTAGCTACACAGATGGCTAAAAACAACCCCGCTCTCCAAGATGACATGCAAGGGGCAGGGGGAAAGCTGCAAGGTGAAGGGAGAAGGGAAAACAGGCTAAAGGGCCGGAGGATTTCACCCTGAGCAGGAGCTGCTGTGCTGCCAGGGGTGCTGACACCGTAATGAGCAACAGGAACATGTCCTTCTTCAAGGACGTGAGGGCAAAAGCAAGACATTAAGGCCGTTTTTGAGAGGAGAATGACCTCGGCCAGCATTAAGAGACCAGGCACGATGGAGACACTGAGAGCATAAGAGGCAGCTTTTATATATGGTTTTAGAGGTACTAATATCTCTAGCTGCTAGTCCTCAGTCTGCTTAATTCTGTCAGTCAACCAGTCTCCTCGCCAAAATGGGTCCCTTTCTCATGTCTTTTCTATAGTTTTAAAGGCAGTTGCAAATAATTGGGTAAAACAATAACTGCACCTCACGAGACATAATGATTATGACCAATTGTCTCTATAATCGTTAATAAACACACATGGCTCGGGGAAACGGTGGCAGGCCGCAGGAAACGAGCGTGCCCAGGTGTGCGCTCAGCACCGCGGACAGCGCCCAGCGCCCAGCGCCGCTCGCGGGCGGCAGCGGGGCCGGGGCCGGAGCGGAGCCGGGGCCTCGGGAGCAGCCCGGGCAGGGGGCGCCGCCGCCCCGCGCTCGGAGCGCCGCGTGCCCTCTAGGTGGTGCTGCGCGCCCAGGCCCGGCCTGGCGCTGTCCCCATCTCCGTGCAGGCCGCTCGGCAGCCCCGTCCTGTCCCCCCCAGGCTGCTGCCCTTCTGCTCAGCCCGCTCTGCTGTGTTGCTCGTCCCTGTGTCACTCGTGCTCCTGCTGCTGGTGCTCGAGGGCACCTGGGCCCGGTCACCGAGAGCACCGCGCACGCTCCAGGGAGCGGCCCGGCAGGCTTGGTCCTCGCTTTTACCTCCTTATTTTACCTAGTTTACCGAGCTTGGGAAACAGGGCAAATATACACAGGATCAGCTATGGAGAGCAGGGTACAGACATGCCCTTACTGGAGTTGCAACTGCTGTCTGGGTTAGAAATTACTTACGAAAGCCAGACCTTAGGCTCTCTCTCCTTTCACCTCTGTCCGTTAACTGGATATGCCAAAATATGGATCTCCAGTACCTTGAGAGGGCACAGGAATAAATAAAAGGGATGTAATTAATATCATTAGCAACAGCGATCAGTCAGTGATTATACAACAGCTGTAACAGTGGACATACAACCATGAGCACTGAGTAGGAAAACATTGTTCATATTGAACAGTCACCGTTGGCTTGAGTGCTCATTTTGCCAGGAGCTGTACACAGTATTCTAAATAATAAATATTAAATCCATAATATTTTAAAGAGATAGAAGGGCCCTTTGCCTACACTTTAAGGAGTTCAAAATGTAAGTACACATCAATTTAAAAGCACCAGGGGAAGGCACTCCATATTCATGTATATATTTTTGAATTTATTTCTTCATATTCTGAACTATAGTCATGTTATATACACCTTTATCTACAGGGAGGGAAATAAATTGGTCTTTCGCTGATTTTTATGATAGTATGATAGCTTTTCTTTTTTCTTCATTTAGTAAAATGAATATTTTAAGTGATAGGGAAAAGGCATTCTCTTTTCTTAAAATATAAACAGCATGATGGACACTGAACATTAGTGAGGCTCCTTTTTGTATTTTTATTTTCATAGCCTATGATTTTTTTTTAAAATCACACAGTTATGATTGTTCATACCCCATTAGCATGGCTGTTATTACAAACTATACTGATTGTATTGGGCATCTCTTTTTCCACCTTTCCTGGTGCACAATGTCTCATTTACCTACAACTCTGATAGAACTCAATAGATTTTAATTAATTTGTAATTTGCCTGGTTCTCACAGTGCTAAAAAGTTACAGATATAAATTATTGTATTTATCTGTAACAAAAATCATCACAAGAATTAAAAATAGTGGACTACTGCTCAATTATTTGGTACTACTCAAAAAACTCTGCAAGCTGGAAAGCAGGTGGGAACTACCAATTTATACTCTATTCTAGAGATAACTTGTGCCATCCTTTTTATGTCAGTCGATAAAAACTTTTTAAAGGTAAGAGATATGTTTGCTTTGGGTTTGTGACTGATCAGTCACCGATCTATCCAAGTGTCCCATATTTAAGGTCATGTCCATTGCTTGAATTGCATGGCAGCAGAAGATAAGCTGCCAGCCAGAACATTATGCACTGCTATGAGTAAGGACATTTAGAGAATCTGATGTACATAGTTTTACATACTTTGTAACTTTTTTTTTTTTTTTGCATGATGTCCCCTTCCTGGCATGTGTCGCTGTCCATTCTGATCTTTCATCTAAAAAAAAAAACAAAAAAAAACAAAAAAACCCCCCCCACACACAGAGAACAATCCAACGCCCAAACAGCAGCAGCAAAAAATCCCCACTATCAGCACTACCGAGCAGACATGGAAGCAAGCAACCCCTGCTCCTCCTGCCAAAAAAAAGCCATCACACTGCTTCCAAACTAAAACAAAATAAAGAAAAAAAATCTTATTTATCTATAAGAAAATCTTATTTATCTAGATGGATCACATAAATAAAATACAATTATGTAAGTTGCAGAATTGCAATTGTAACATGAAAAATGGTAACAGAAACAGAAATGATAACATACTCATATAGTCTGTTTTCTGCCAGTTTTAGAAAATTGTAACTATTTTATCTCATGACTGAAATAAACCAGTCTCTTATTCCCAGTCTCTCCCTTGAAATCTGTAGAGGCATTAGCCTGTATTTTCTCCTTGTGATATATTGTTATGTGTTACATGTCACACTGAACTGAATCTTTTATTCCCATAGTGGGGCATCTGTTTGTATTTAGGACATTCAATAATTTCAATAGTGTTGTTGTGAGACAATGCAGTTCAGCTCATCAATCCCAGAATTAATTTAGATAGCTG